TATAGGCAGGTTGGGTTCCTGTAGAAAATAGTTCACGGGTAGTACTGTGGCAAATAGCAAGAATTTCCTTTTTAATGGTATCAGAGCCAAGGGATAGATAAAGATATTCTATATAAATTCATTCGCAGTAAAGATGATTTCCTTCGTGGAGATCTTTTCTTGTGATTTCTGGATGTGTTCCAGGCAGTAAAGCCCAGTGGGGTAGTAAGTCCGTTGGTAAGCATCGTCGAAATCAATTGAAAAGAAGAAAGTAGTCTTTTGCAATGAACTTATTAAGAAGATCCGAGTCTTCTTCTAGTTCTTTATCACAAATGTCCTCAGATCAAGGATCAATAAATAGAGAAGAGATTAATATAGAAGATTTCAATAAATCAATTGAAAATTGGTTCATCCCAAAAGTCAAACTTGATAAAATTTATGAGCATTCAAAGTTTAAACTCTTTGGGAATAATGACTATGTCATTGTTACTGAAGAAAGAGATGTACCACTTTCTAATTCTTTTGCTTCAATACAACTTTTGAATAAAGATTCAATATAGAAACATTCTCAGAAATGGAATTATATGCATATAGGCTTGGTACAGGTTGGTGCAAAACCTCTTACCAAAGAAGGATTAGATACTTCCTTGCTTCTTGTTTTGAGAGATGCGAGACTTTTAAAATACGAGGAATCCATTCTTGGAGCCGTAGAAACAAGTTTTTGCAGTGGACCAATTCATTTTGATAGTCATCCCGGTCTTACTGTTTCTCTTAAAGACAAAAATATTTTAAAATCTCTCACCCTCCAAATAAAGACCGATAATTATTCTATAGCTGAAGGTTCTATTCCCATAGCTCTCATCTACAGAGTTTATTACAAAGTAATGAATTCTGCTTTTGGTAGCAAAGCTTTTAAATTGAATTCCAATAGGGAAACCCTTCTTTTACAGACGACATTTCTAAAGCAAATGTTATCATTCCTAGGACCATTCCTTGGAATCAAATAACCCTTCCTGATCAATGGGAATTAGAAAACCGAATTCCCCAACAAATCGTTCAAAACTCTGATCCTACCAACATTATTCAACATCCTGAAGGAAGAGTAACTATTCAATTTTCCAGAAGATCTGTCGATATTCCTAGGAGGTCTCGTGACATTAGATCAATTCCTTCTTAGCATTCCACTTCTTCTCGAAGGTCAGTAGATACTATTCCTAATATCCCTTTGAATAGTCCTGAGGAAGCAACTGCAAGTGCTCCTCCTCTTCCAAACATCAGTGGTATAGATAGCAGGTCAGGAATTTCCAGACCAGTTTATCAGCATATTCCTGATTTCCCTGATCCAACTCCTTCCGAAATGGAAGATCCTGAAATCAATGTTTTGGAATTAGTTTTTGAACCTGATAAGGTACTTTTGAATAAGGAATTCAATTCTTTTGAAAATAAGCAAATCAAAGAATGGTTTTTTGCGAATTTTCAAAAACAAACACTTAATATCAAAAAAGAGTATTATGATTACATGTACCAACATGAAATCCAAGTATTCTTCTTTGATTGGTTTGAAAACAAATTTCTAGAAGAAAAACAAAATTTTGTTTTGGATCAATTTTATAAGTGGAAATTAGACGATGGTCATGTCATCAAGTCTAATCATCCTCCTCTTAGAAAAATCAAAATTGAACATCGAGAAACTGAAATAATAGCTTCTCCTTTCAAAACTGCCTCTGAAATAGATGGCATAGGAATCAAAAAAATTGTTGAACAAAATAATTTTTCAAATCAACATTTACATACTATTGGAAAACAATTAGATCGAATAGAAATTTCTGTCCAAAATAGTTTTCCATCTTTTTCAATATCCACTTCAAAAAGAGATCTAAAACCCCCACTCTTTAAAAATTTTGAAATTCCAAAAAATCCTAGTCTTGAATTTGCTAAAGCACTAGAAGATAGGAAAAAACTCCTTAAAGGAAAAGCAATTTTTATTCCTAAAAATCCTATGATCTTGGATACTCCTTTAATACAAAATCTGAGTGTCAAAGACACTCCTGATCGTATTGAACCTTCCAATCAGATCAATCTTTTGGATAAATCTGATACTGAGTCAATCCCTGAAATAAATCGCATCACTTGGAAAGATCCCCAGAAGTTATATTATTCCCGTGCGACTCCCTCTTGTATCCTCACAGAAGAAACCTTTTCTAAAGTCCAAAACAAATATTCTTCTGATGCTATCTATGAGTGGAATATAAATGGTGTTTCTGAGCAAAACCTTATAAATATTTTGACTCGGATGGTTATGCTTGCTAATACCTATAAAACCATTCCAGAAACTTCTGATCATTCTGTCGCCTATTTTTTAGTAGCCGGATTTACTGGCCAGCTCAAAGGATGGTGGGATAACTACCTGAATGAAGAGCAAAGGTCTCAAATTTTAAATGCTTATAAACTCGATCTTTTTGGTCAAAATATTCTTGACGAAGATGATCAATCCATCCAAGATGCTGTTAATACTTTGATATTTTCTATATCCCAACATTTTCTAGGAGATTCTTCTCATATTCTTGATAAAAACCAAGATCTTTTATCCAATATGAAATGTAGATCTTTAGGAGAATTCCGAGAATATAAAGAAATATTTTTGCAAAGAGTCTTCCAAAGGATAGACTGCAACCAGTCTTTTTGGAAAGAAAAATTTCTTGCCGGTTTACCAAAACTCATAGGAGAACAAGTTCGTGGTAAGATAAGAGAAGACTATGGAAATCAAATTCCATATGACCATCTTTCTTATGGAGAAGTAACCTCTTATGTTTATAAAATAGGAACACATTTATGCACCAATATACGTCTCCAAAAACAAATCAAGAAAGAACAAAAACTTTCTAAAAAAGGGCTAGGAGATTTTTGTGCCCAATATGATCCATCTTTTGAATCTTTTGAAAAATCCAAATGTTCAGGAAAATGTCTTTCTAAACAAAAAGACCAAAAGAAATTTTACAAGAAACCTTATAAGAAGAAATTTGATAAAAAGCTTTCTAAAAAGAAAGAAAATGATAGTTTTGATAAATCCAAAAAACCCAAAAGGAATTTTAAAAACATCACTTGCTATAATTGTGGTAAGAAAGGCCACACTTCCTGATTTTGCAAAATCAATAAAAGGGTCAATGAGTTAGATTTAGATGAAGAAACTATTAACCAGCTCAATCAATTAATGGCTGAAGCTGATAGCAGTTCTTCTGATGAATCTGATTTTGAAAAAGAATTACAAGTTTGTGATTTGGAAACCTCTTCATCATCATCTTCAGAAAGTGAAGATGAAGAAGCCACCAGTTTTGAAATAAATGTTTTGACAAAAGAAGAAGAAATTCTTTTGCAAACAATTGATCAAATTACTGATCCTGAAACAAAAATGAAATATTTGAATAATTTCCAAAAACCTAAACCAGTTTCTAAATCTGCTTTCCAAACTGACAATCCTTATAATATTTCTACCATACTTGGAAAAGCTAAGAAAGCAAGTATATATATGATAAACCGACAAATTAATAGCAGTAGTAGAATTTTTATAATTCATAAAAAGAATATATACGTCTCATAATTCATCTAAATCTGTATTCATCTCAAATATATATAACCAGCTAAGCTCATACTCAAAAAATCACATTAACTAAGACTTGACTAGGCAACGCTAATTAGGTGTCAAAATGTTTACTACGGATTAACAAAAGGCCTCAACAATAGCCACTCACGCAACGAACAATTACTCGCGCAACAAACAGCCACTTGCACTTGCGCTACGAATTTGGTCACGCCACATCTCTCTACCGAATTTTTCAAAAGAAAGCTCTTTCAAAGTACTGAAAAGACCCTCTAAACTTTGCCGGCCCAAAATCTAATCCGCAACAGATGAAATTGCACATGGAATGGTGTTGGTCGAGTTCCTATACAACATTTCCTGAGGATTTCAAATAAATCAATATCTCTCAAATAGGAGGTACAAATCGCAATTTCGTAAAATTATACTAGTTTCTAGGAATGTGGGGGACTAATTATCATTATTGAACAGCTCAATCTCCGCCGGTGTGTCATTGCCGAAGCCAACATATTTAGGGCAACAATTTCGACTCCTAGAACAAAAACTAACTAGCAAGAGGGAAAGACAACAAATAACACTTACCAATAGGGAAATTACCAAACCAGTCTGCAAGGACTACCCTCGCCCGACCTGTCCAGCGATTGGCTAGAGGTTGAAGAAGATGAAGGAGGAAAAAAAAAGAAAGAAAAGAAAAGAAATTTAAATTTAAAAATTTAAAAAAAATTCGAATAATTTTTTTGCCTCGTCAATGTAGGCCGGACACCTGGCGCCGGCCGGCATCCACGTTAGCACCGGCCGGCCAAAATTGGTCGGATGGACTGAATTGACACAAATGCAAAAATGTTTAAGACTAAATTGGTACAAAAAAAAGGTTTAGGACTGAATTGGCACAATTGCAATAGATTTAGGATTGTTTTAGTAATTTTCCCCATACCAATCACATTCAAAAGGAGTATTCTGGCATCAATCGACGTTTTCCGACTAACCACCACGATTTCTCTCTCTTCTTTCTCTTGATTGCTCCATGAATTGTTTTCTCCCTCTCTTCTTGAATCACACGAAGGCTTCAGAAATAGGAGGAAGAAGAAGACCTCTTGAAGCTTATTTGGGCTTAAGGAAGGGCTGAGTTTCTGGCCCGACCAATTGGTTCTTTAAGTACGTACGCTTACTATGCAAAAGGAGTCGTGTAAACGTGCCAGTGTTGCGCCAAAAAAATTCCAGAAAGGGAACAGAAATGTTGATAAAATGATGTGCGAGAACTTCTGAAATTCTGTTTTGTATGATATTATCCTCAGTTCAATCTAATATTTGATGCGTTTGACAAAACTTAGATCACGATAAGATCAAAGACTAGTCATCCACACTCATCTACTTTAGAAAGCTTAGTAGTTTTTAAGTAAATTACAAAGTCGTGAAACTAACTTGCTTTCGATCCCGGAAGAAATGTCACATTGCCATTCGTCATAGAAAAGAATGTTCGTTGTCCTTTATGTACGGGACAGCATTTACATGAACAAACTTGCAGCCAAACAAAAGTCACACAACTATTCCCAGAGAAAGTGTCTCCCCGGATTACAGATTATATTACATAAAGCTATCCACTATTGAGTCCTCATGAAGAACTATTTAGAAAGTAAGCCAATGCTTCATCCATATTGTTGTTGTTCTTGACCAAGGCCTCGGAGATACTGCTTGAAGAAAACCCCATCTCGCGCAGGCGAGTATAACCATTGACAAATTCCCTAACCTGGTTGAGAGAAATAAGAGACGGTTCATTTCAAACTGACAAAGGAGAGAGGTTCCATTTAAAGGCCAGTAAAAGCAGACCATCGCCCTATACTTGAGAAAGAAGCACCTCCTTGAATGGCAAACGGACAGCAGTATACAGTAGATTGTGCAATGGAAAAAAGTGATTGTTGCAACGTGGTCAAGATATCAATGCAGTTAGACATCAACCAACATAAAATTTTCCCCAGGTAGACATGGGCATGTTTGGAGATGTTAAAACATCACATGTGGTCCCATACTTTCATTAAAATCAAATCCAATTGTTTCATAGTTTTTTCTTACAGGAAGGATCATTCATTGACTGCCATGAGCCGTTGAATTTGTAAGAAAGAACTTGAACACACGAGGAATCTGACCACGCAGTCCCAAACAAGTTGTGGTAAACACATCCCTTTTGCCAATGCAAGGAGAGGGTGACAACAGATTATTGCTCAAATTATCATTCATCGACTGCCATGGACCGTTGAATTTGTAAGGAAGAACTAGAACGCAAAAGGAATCTGACCATGCAGTCCCAATCAAGTTTATGGTAAACACATCCTTTTTGTCAATGCAAGGAGAGGGTGACTACAAAGTATACCTCAATTACTTAAATTTTACCAATAATAACCACCGACAACTGCTACAATCAAACTAGACTGCATTAGCCTGGACAGCAAGGCCATACGACTGATGCTTCAGGTTCTGGAAGGTCTAAATTCATCTAATACTTGGTCACTCCTTCATTACAAAGTGTTCAACAGGTAACGGCAAAAATAAAAAAAGAGGTCAAAAGGGATTGCACCCACTGGTGGAAACATACCGGTGCTCTAGGGAATCAAGGACATGCACGTAGTCATGGCCACGGGCCGGTTTCGGCCCGGTCAAACCCGGGCCCGGCCCGTTGACCAGGCCCGTGGTTCAGAACTGGAACCGGCCCGTGGCCTACTGGCCCGGTTCCAAAAAAAATTAAAAAAATTAAAAAATTAAAAAACAGAAAACCTGCAGCAGGGCCTGCACGTCTGCAGGCCCTGCTGCGGCCCGTTGCCAGGGCAGCCTTTGCAGGCTGCCTTGGCAACGGGCAAAATAAAAAATAAAAAAAATAAAAAGATAACCGGAACCGGAACCGGCCGGTTCCGAACCGTGGCCATGACTACATGCACGCAATAAAGAAAAGAAGGAGATGCTTCTACATGGATGCTACTGTAAGAAGTTCCATGAGGGTCAATTAACACAAATAAAAGCTCAGACATACCTTGGTTGGATTATCCCCGTAGTTTGCCACTGCAAGAGGAACAGCTTCTCGGCTTAATCCAGATGAGATGTACTTGTTGATTATGGGATCCCCTGCAGGACTCTGTCCACACAAGCACGTCCACATCATTTCTAATTGATCAGGAGTTAAAAAACTGACTGCTTGATGACACTTCTTATGTTACATCCAATGTTTCACTCATTTACATGGACAACAAAGTATCACATGGTATAGGCAACAAGTATGTAGAGTAATTTCACCTGTAAGGCTAATCAAAATTCTAAACCTGCAGACAGGACTGGAATTAGGAACCAAAAATCAATTATTTTGGTCACAGCCAGCAGCAGATATGGGGAAATAGAAAGTAAAGAAAAGGACAGAATCAGACAAATGGAGCCTAAACATGGTTTATTTATAGGGATTTCAGGTTTAATAGACTCAACAACCTCTCAGTTCTCCATGCAACGTATAACTTGTTATGAACTATCGTGACCGTGACAGAGCGGCACAACTTTCTGTATGGACATGCACCTCTTGATCTTGTGGCACAAAGTCACAAATTGTTTATCTAATTATTTTGCAATGGAGACTAATTTTACCCCTAATCATTTCATTTCTTCCGTAAAGGCTAAAAAATCAATTTTATAGAATGCAATGTCACCCTAAGCATGCACCACTCTGAGCATTTAATCGGATACATCCAAATTGACAGTCAATAAAGCTGAAAAGAGGAGCGGACTCCGGGAATGAGCAACATACTGATGTAGGCAGTGCCTCTGAACTCCTTGATGGAAGATTTTCTAGCCCAAGCCTGCTCCAATCAGGGCTTTCCTTCTCTAATTCGGCTAGAACTTTCCTCTCAAAATCGAAGTCAAACTGAAACTTGCTTCGTGGTATATCTCCCATTTGTGGTAACAATTGAGGCTACAATTTGAATGATTAAAGTTGCATCAGCAACACATTGCATAATTTCTGTGAATTATGAAACTCCGGAATATGCAAGAACTGTCGGGCAACAGGAAAGGTATAAACTAGTCATGTCTCTCCTATAAAATGCGAGTTAATTCTTCCCCGACTCTATAACTTAGCAAATGATACATGATTGAGTTACATAAATGTAATTAATCAGCAAAAAATGGGAGATAGGGACGAGAGAGAAGTGTGTACTGAAAGATTGTTCAAGTGCAGTCCTCTTGATCATTATTTTTCACTATAGTTGCAGTGAAACTTAGTCCCTGTGGAGACATATTGAAGTATCATATGATTCGTTCTAAAGGTAAAAGGCATCGTGTGATTCGTTCTAAAGCTAGCCTCAAAAGTGATTGAATCCGATACATTTCTAAAGATACAGAAATTTACATAATTAGAAATGATTCGTCGATGAAATCATATGTAGCTAGAAGCCCTGATCAAGACAATGACAAAAGATACTAGCTGGTCAAAAGCCAGAAAGCGAAAATCACACGAGATAGATAGCAGAAAAACACAAACTCTAAATTCAAAGAGTTACAGATACCGAATTGAATCGGATTCATTGATCCAGCCCTAGACATAAGATCAGAAACACCACATGCACAAGCCTAAAGGTAGATAGCAGAAAAACACAAATTCAAAGAGTTACAGATACCGAATTGAATCGGATTCATTAATCCAGCCCTAGACATAAGGTCAGAAACACCACATGCACAAGCCTAAAGTGATTCATCAAAACCACTATCGTTTGCGCGTGAAGCCGCCGGAATGAGCTACAAAACAATTCTCATTCAACCGATCTTACCGGAGGCGTTATCCGATACTCCGGTTTCACAGCAACCCTGATGCCCAATCCTGCTGCAACATCACCACCATTTCAAAAGAAGAAGAAGGAAACGATCATATCAACATGATGGATTGAATCTTAGCATCAATCAAAAGCGAATCGACAAGCGTCAAACTCCAAGACCTCAATTTCACCTCAGAAGCAGCTCAAAAAAAGAAGACTTACAGGAAGAGGAAGAGGAAGGGGGAGGGGCGGGGTGGTGAAACGAGGAAGAACGGCCCGCCGCGGGGACTACGGCGGGGTTGCCGTGGTGGCTCCCAATCTTCGGGTACATCGGAGACCGGACTTCCCAACGGCGGCGACGGTGGCGTCGAGGGCGGCGGCGACGACTTGGCGCGAGAGGGAGGAGGAGAGGAAGAAACGGAGGAGTTTCTGAGAAAGTGTGATGGAAGGAGCTAAAATACAAGGCAAACGCGGAAGCTCGGGCCCGGCCCAGGACCGCAAATGTGGGCCGGTCATCCGAACTAGGCCCGACCCGAATGTGACCCGATTCTCGTGATGGTAATTATAACAAAAGAAAGAAAACATTTCCAATTAACGCTTCGTTCATCCGAGATTTGCTGATTCTATAATTTTTTATTTTATTTTCCTGTTCCTGGAAAAATTTGAATTGTCGTTTAGATTTTTTAATTTTTGACTATTTTTCAGGAGGAATAGGAGTGAGAATGGATAACATAATCTTCCTTTTTGGCTTGAGTTTATGAGTACTGGCGCCAAACACGTACAGAAGCGACTAATTTCCTTCATCTACAACAAGATACAGAGCTAGAGCTACCATACGAACATTACATTACATTACGTGTAATAAACTTAGGACAGCAATGCTACAATATCACAATCCGAATATAGTGTCGTTTGTACTAAAGATCGACGCGTTGAACTGTCTAGTGTTCAGGTCGTTTCCATCCAGAGCGGAGCTCAGCCGATCGAGCCACTGGGTCGGGCTCGGGTTCTCGCTCTCTTCTACCCACTCCGAAGTCATGTCGATGTCGTCGAATTGAATCGGGTCAGCCTCCGGAGATCTCATCTGCCTCGCTAATTTGAGATTGGAGTTGATGTAGATGAGGTCGTTCATCGTTTCCTTGTCGATCTTGTTGCGCTTCTCTGAGTGGATCTGCTGGAACGCGCTCCAGTTCCTCTCGAATGTGAAAGTGCTGCAGACCTGGCTCAGTATTCTTATGGCGACTCGCTGCAGTGCTGGTGCAGAGTCTCCATATTGTTCCCACCAAAGTCCTGCAAATCAAGCCAGTAATGTTGAGTCTCGTATTTGTCGGTGTTGGATGGATTCCATATCCATAAAGAAGGCAAAAGTCACTACACCACTGATTAACGCAAAACCCAGGAGAAAGCACAAAGGGAAATAGCATGCCAATTTAATGTTAAGAAACAAAATGAACAAGCTGCCAAATGTGGAACATCGATTCCTGAATGATTCTTTTATCAATTGCATCAGATTTCCGCATCTTGCAGAACACTCGGTTGCTTGAAATTTCTTGTGAGGGTGGTCCGGTGGATACTGTAGTCAGAAAGAGGCTGCCCTGGCAATCTCTCAGGACTGGGTCAGTAATATGTAGCAGCAAGCATATTTGGAGAGATCTGTACTACTATAAAAGCAGTGTACATGCTAGTGCATAGGTTTGACAATACAGAACTATATTACGATATAACAGCTTCCTAGTAAGTAATGTAGGGATCACTTCAAGACATTCTTTTGAAGAATAATGGGCTTGAGTTTCTCAGAAAATGCAGAACATGACGTGTCATCATCTTCAGGGACGACATATACAGGACCCATGGCCGAGTAGAATAAACATATCTCGACATAATGTCTCTCTCAGTCACTTAAATGCACAGAGATGTACTGTCTGATGGGGAAAAAATTTACTTACCAGGTGCAACTGTCTCTCTTGCCTCCATGGCTAAGCTACAGCCAAACATTCCTTTCGCCCTTGTGAAGGTAAAGATCTGATTGGTGATATCACGTCTCATGTCAGGCGCTGGAAGCAACTTCTCTAGAACCTTAAAGAAGTCTTCCTTTATAGATCCAAGAAATTTGATTTCTGGATTGTATTGGATGCTAGGGTTTAAAAATGCAGCAGCAGAATGCAGAGGTGAATGTAGCTGATCCCTCCATTTTCTATCAACTATATCTAGAAACACTTTGCACTTACTCTCGTCCATGATATAGTATGTCCGGATAGATTCCTTGGCCCTAGTCATTAGCTCGTATATTGAACCCACAGCTGGTTTTCCCCCAGAAACTTCTCTCAGTACTCGAAGGAATGGCTCGGAAATGGCAACACTCTCTTCCACAGCTCTCCAGAACTCATTATCCTCAACTATGGCAATACAAGAGATGCTTTGGGGTTTATTTGAGTATGACGAGTTCATCGAATACTCAGGACTGTTGAACATATGCTTCAGTTTTGACTTTTGCTTCAGTATAGATTGCAGTGAAAGGAAGTTTGATATGGACTTTGTGATACCCGTCCTAATAAGTTCCTGTCCCCCTGTGAACCTCTTCATGAGATCTAGCATCATCGCGTTGTTGTAGATGAACTTTGAGATGGTCTGTGCTTGTGAGATACATCTGTTCACCCAATCTACCCTGGAAAATTCCTCCAGGATCAAATTCATACATTGAGAAGCACAGGGCGATACAAAAATTGTCCCATAGTTCTGGAGGATGTGGTTGGCCACGCCAGTGTAATTTAAACTACTGTCCATGATTATTTGCACGACATTTTCTGGGCCAAAATCTTGGATCACAGAATCAAACAAGTCCGCGAGGCATTTGACGTTCTTAAAGTACGAGGATGCATCGATAGATTTGTGGAAAAAGGTTCTAGACGGTGATGAAACTAAAAAGTTGATAAATGCTCTTGACTTATTGTCAGTCCATGTATCTGCAATGATAGTGCAACCCGTGGTTGACCACTCTTTCTCAGTATCTTTGGACTGCAGACTTACTTCAGACTTGATCTTTCCCAGCCATGTCGTTCTCAACGTGTCTGCAGATGGTGGGATGAATCCAGAACCGCATTTACCAACAGCATCAATCATTAACTGATACGATGAAGATCGAGCAACGACGAAGTCCAGCTTATTTTCAAAGAAGAACAGAGCAACACTTCTCTCGGCATTTTCTTGGTTGCTTAAACACGAAGATCCCATAGGTGAGACAGGAGAGAAGACCTTCGTCATCGGAGGTGAAGCATCCGTGGATGTAAAAACTTTATTCGCCGATATACTTCCCGGAGGCTTAGTTTCCGGTACTGCCAACTTTGGCTTTTTAGAGTTAGACGGTTCCTTGACCTCCTCTTTCGTAGCTATTATCGCCCTCACTCTATCACTGACATCATCCCTTACTTTGCAACACGGGTTCACGCCTTTACTCGGAAGTCGAGAAAGATGGTGTTTTAACCTACTAATGCCCCCGTTCAAGACTCTGAGGCAAAATTTGCACCTTACCTTGTTTCCATCCAATTTCTCAGCATATTCCCAGCAAACATCTTTCTCTCGCACCACTGTCAGCAAATGAACGCGAAATAATCTCATCGAACTTATTCCCGGTCATCAAACACATCGAGAAAAAAAAAAAAACAAAAAAATAGTTTTCCCCGTACAACGGTAGGTCTACATAGATAAATTAACAATGAAGAGCTAAGCAGCAGCATAACCAGCATTGGAAGATCGATAAAATCGAACTTACTTGCGATGCAGATAACTTCTTCCTTTGGCCAGTGCTTCAACCTGGATAAGAGGTGAGAAATGGTGAGACATTACAACGAGCAGCTCATAAGAAATGGCGCTATTTGCATAACCTTAGACGAAATGTACGAGTAAATTAGCAGCGATTTTTCCGGTGGCGCAGCAATCGCAGTGACCAGAGCAGACCGATGATCCGTCAACTGGCGAGCACCGCACCTCGAGGAACAACAATGCAATTTCGAGTCCACGGCGAACATGACGCATCGAAATTCAAATGCATAAAACGCGTTCCGCATCGAGCGACCAGCTTTTAGCCAGAAAAAAGGAAACAAAAGGAACATACGCAAAATCCGCGAAGAATTAGAACCTGATAAGAAACCAAAACAAGAAAAGAAGAAAAAAAGAAGAAGGGAAAAAAATCCTCGAGAAAGCCAAGACCAGAGCAGAGCTCAGTGCGTTTCTGCGTATCCGCACGGGACATAAAATCACCAGGACGACGCCCTACATTTTCTCCCGGACCGATCGCTCACTCCCCTCCCCTCCCCTCCCTCCTCAAACGAAGGTCCCGTTCCCCGATCAGCTTATAGGTAAACGGGGCAGCGCTTCCCCGAGGAGCTCGTCGATCGAGCCTCCTCCCCGCCTCGCGGGTCCCCGAGCTCGAACGGACAGGGAAGATGCAGAAACGATACCGAAGGCTTCCCCCTCCTCTCGCCGAACGAGCGGGCACGCGCGCGGGGGGAAACGATCGAAGGGGGAGCTCGGAGGAGAGGGGGGAAAAAAGGGAACGCGGGGGGGGGGAACGGAAAGGGCAGCGAAAAATTGGAAAGAAAGGGGGCGGGGGGGGGGGGAAAGACGCAAAGCGAGAAATTGAAAGAGAGGGGGAGGCTTACAGAGAGATTTGAGGGGGGGCCAGTTTCTCGAGCGCTCGTCGGAGAAGACGGATAAAATGGATGGGGAGAGGCGGGGATTCCGGGTCTTTGTATTTTATCGCGATATTTTGGGGGGGGGGGGTTAGGGTTTTCTTCTTCTTCGTCGTCGCTGTTCTTGTGCTAGTTTTGCTTCCGTCCGCGCGAACTTTTTCATTTTCCTTTCTCCTTGTTATTTAACGAGAATTGGGGGGAAGAAGATTTTATCATCACGTGCCTGGGCTCGCCGCGATGCGACTCTTTTTCTTTCCCCCAAAATCCTTTTTGTCGAGGGCGATATATCGCGCGGATCGACGCGCTGCGCTACTTCGTTGGCGGCGGACCGATCGGAACCCTTTCTTCCGGGGGGCCAACGGCGTCGTTTGGAGAGGCCGAAGAAATTAGTTCGCGACAAAAGAAAAAAAGTATCGACCCCAAAAAGAAAACAAAAAAAGGGGTGGCTTGGGGAAGCTGCTCTCTCGTGCTACACATATCAGAGCCAGGTTTCGATCCTGGGACCTGTGGGTTATGGGCCCACCACGCTTCCGCTGCGCCACTCTGATTTTGTTGAAACTCCTTCATCAATTATTTTATTTATCAGTAAATACATAATTTCCTTATGGTCGTCCGCTAGAGCTTTTCATTCCCATCCTTTTAAAGTGTTACGGTATGGTGGGATTTATTTATATTATATAAATATATCCCTGAAATTATATTAATTTTTATTGATATGAAGCAGTCGAGTCGAGAACTGAAGATCTTGCACTATCATTATTTTTTTAAAATGGGATGCAATTATAGTTTTATTCATCATTGTTCAGGTAAGCTAATTCTGGTCTTGTTCCGTTTTTCCGAACACGGGTTCCACCTCACATAGTTCTTGTGTTGGGCAAGGGCTGTCTCGGCAACCCCGGTCAGGTCAGGTATGCAGCCTCGGAAGATTCGGGCGTTTCTTGCTTTCTATACCACCATAGTACTACGGTGACTACTTCTCTCGAAGGTGAGTCCCGATTTGAGCCAAGCACCTCCATTAGCCATGAGGAGGAATAGGGGCTTGTGAGCATAAGGTGCACATGGGGTCGGGTATGATCTTTCTCTTGTAGAGGTTTTCACGAGTGGGAAGCATGTCCTGGCAGACACTCCATATGAAGCTACGGCTTTTAGGAAACCAGGCACTGATGTTTATAATTAACCCAATAAAAAGTCGCACAATACTCAACAATAGTTTGGGAAAAGAAATCAATCCTTAATGAATCGATAACTATCAATTTATACACTCTCAATTCCTTATATGGCATTGGCTTGGAATTGACGGTTGATAGGTTGATGGTAGGAACTGGTCTGACTTCTCTAGCAAGTATGGCAAGCTCCTCCGACAGCCGGGGTTTCGGCAATCAAAGCTGAAGCTGGATAGAGTGAATTGGTAAAACCCTCGACCAAAGCTCCACTTGAATCGATAAACGCCAGCCATAGATTTGTCCGATGCTCCTCCCACCCACGAGCCGTCGATGTTGAGTTTGAAGGTTCCATGGCCGGTGAATTAAATTTCATCCCATCTTTTCTTTTTATTTAAATAATGGTTCAAATTGTAGACTGATGTAGCTAGCAAGGATCACCTAGAGGGGGGTGAATAGGTGATCTTAAACAATTTTTATCAATTTAAGCGGAAATGATTGATCACAGTTGAGTCTGAATAAAATTCGATTCAAAATGCTTTATATATAGACTTGCTCTTGATGTACGGTATGTAAAGTAAGAGATAAGGGATAGAAAAAGCGCACACAAGTTTATAGTGGTTCGGCTTATAGCAAGCCTACGTCTACTCTCCCACGCTGACAGCCTACTGGCTGGATTTCACTATGTAATCAAGAAAATTACAGAATCTGAGTGACAGCACTCTTGTGTATGATATGACTCTCTATCTCACACAATCACTCTTACAAAGTGTTCCTCAAGATATTAATGTTTGGCTCAAGAAAGACAAGAGAAACGATCGGAGTATGCTCAGACTTTGGACTTGTTGATTCTTGATTTTGTACTTTCTTCTGCTCCTCGTAGATCTCCTTTTATACTCCTCCACTAGCAAACTAGCCGTTGGACAGTCTTCAGAGGATCATCTTCCAATCTTCATCTTGGACAAATTTGTATAAAATGGATTGAGTAGCCGTTGGATGACAAAATCTGAATTCCGCTGATTCTGGTCGCCCATATAATCAGAATCTTAATTTCCATAAGTAGAGCTTTATTCGTTGTAATGCATACTTGTCATAATGTTTGATTGTCAATCAATTAGATTGAGATTGAATCAATCAAAACCTTCATTTTGTGAAATCCATGCCAGATCACTAGCTGTTGTGATACCTTCTGAATGAGTTTTGCTTCTGCGTCTGAAAAACTTCACCGTCTGCGTCTGCATAATTATTGCGTCTGAAGAATTTCTAATTCAGAACTTGAGTCAGCGTAGATCTTCAGTAGAATCTGAGTATTTCATAATAAGAGTCTGAATGACTTTTATAGTAAAGTCTGAAGATCTTATATCTGAGTCTGAACTTTTAGTTCTGATATTTCCTTCTAAACTTCCAGAATATATTAATCTGGAATGGAATGTATGTCAGATTCACAAGATAAACATAGAGAGTTTTGTCAGCTTCAAAATTTATTAGGAGTTTTCCTCAACATAGACAACCCAATTTCATTGGATCTCGCAGAGAATGGCAAGTAAAAGTGGTGAAGATCCTAACGCGATGCATGCGTGATTGAGTACTTCGAGAAAAACAATGTTCAATCGGAATCGGTGTTTATTACCCAGGTAAGAGTTTATTTGCACAAGTTAATTGTTTTTTGTATCTCAAAAGTCATTGTCAACGACGGCAGGCGTCACTTCATACCGCACGATTTTTGTTACTTAATTAAGTTTTGCAAATACTCGGGATTTGAAATCCAGCGCTATCTAATCTCATACCCAAAAAGTCAACGATAGCAATTTATCGCGGCGAAACAAAGCCTCAACGGGATCACTCCTAGCCTCGATTCGAATTGGGACAGCGTGCGCACCCAAAGCGAAATCGAAGATCCAGCTGTCAAAATCGGGTCGCATGAACGGCGGCCAACCACATCAGGGTGGAGGCGGGACAACTATAATTCAAGCCATGGCCCATGACCCCCAACAATGTATCAAAGCCACAACTAACCTTACCTACTAAATCTCCAAGAGGAACACTGGTTTGAATTCAAGCGCCCCCCGTATAGAGATTTGACATCTTCAATCCGCATTTGTTTATCCCACGATTCCCACCAGAGCATTTCAAAAGTCTCAATCGCTGATGATGGTAGATTCGTTCATCGATGTGCTTAAAATAAAAATCCCATGACGATGGCTTCGCCGCCCACACCACCGTATGATCTTTGCCAAATGATTTCCTTATAAATTTATAGTCAACTTCCAGATTTGAGAGCAGTAGTTGAGTCTGCTGGGACACCCTCTGAGAAGGCCATTGGGATCAGCAGAGTTGAACACAACCCCAACAATCAAGATCGCTTCCTTCTTTTTTTATATTCAAATGGATGCTGCGAGGCCCCTCTTGAGCAATAAGTTAATCCCTTTCAACTCGCAGGAAGCGCCCAATCGCACGAACCCAAAAGCAGATGCATCATTTTCCTCTTCCCCCTCCAACTCCGGCTTCTTCTCCTTGTCTCCACATGCAGCTCCCTATTCGTGCGCATGAAGATATGCGTATTATATGGGGTTGAGCCTCTTTTATAATCACTTGGGCTCGAGCTCGCATGTGGTGCTGCTTTTGGAGGGAGCAAACAGCTCACTCTTCGGTTGCTTCTTCTTCTTCCTCTTATTCTCCTCTCTCTCTCTCTGCTCCTTGCCAAAAAACAAAAAATTACAGACAGACAGGGGAGGGAGAGGGAGAGAGAGAGAGAAGAGCCTTGCGTTAGGTATGGAAATTTGATTGGATGATTCAGTGAATGAGTTAATTCTTCTGAAGCTCTTGCTTTTCCGCAAAATCCCTGTTGACTTGTTTCTGGGTTGAGTTCATTTTTGCTTGTTTGTCTCTGCTTGTTGTTCTGGCAATTCTTAGTTTTCGGTTCCTGTTCTGATGTGAAGATGATGTTTTCCAATTCTTGTTTTTCCACTGTTGGATTGGATAAGCTATATTAGGCAACCCCATTTCACAGTGTGGTGGCATACAAGGAACTGTGCTTTCTGTTATTGATAATACTGATACAAAGTATGTCAGGATGAAGGCTTTACTTTAAGCCATAGCTGCAGAATTTGATAAACCCAAAGCAAGGTATCAGTTCAGGTCTAGCTTTTCTTCATGTCAATTGAAGTGCAGTTTTCATTTGTGACTTTATTCTTGGCATCCAGAAGAAGATTCAAACTGATGACTGGACAAAGAAGTCAGATTCTACACGCTTTTGGTTTTTCTAACTTTCTATGGAACCTAAGTTTTTTGGTCTTAGAAGTCAATGACTGCAATAGTATTTCTAGATGATCAATTATGCATTGCTTGAAAAAGAAAATTCTGGAGAAAAAAGTACCACTTCTGCTATTTGATCACAGGTCATTCACTTCTGGCTTTGTGTTTGTGATTGCAATTCGTATATGCTGAAAATTTACGAGGATGTGATCCAAACTTGACAGGAAAGGTTCGAGTTTGTAAATTAGTTTCTGAAAGTCTTACTTCAGCTTCAGAGGGGGATCATGGGTCGGCAATTGTTCGCACTTGTGGGAATTCTCCTTTTAGAAGCAATTCTTGGTCGTGTTGTTGCTGATTTGGTCGAAGACAAGCAAGCTCTACTGGATTTTCTTCAAAATATTCCTCATGCACACACTCTCAATTGGAACAAGGACTCCTCTGTTTGCCAATCATGGACTGGAGTGGCATGTAACGCTGATTCTTCAAGGGTGATTTCCCTTCGATTGCCTGGAATTGGATTCCGGGGTCCGATACCTCCCAACACTTTGAGTCGCCTATCTGCAATTCAGATTCTTTGTCTTAGACTAAACAATATCTCAGGTCCTTTCCCTTCTGATTTTTCGAATCTCAGAAACCTGACATCTCTGTATCTCCAGTTCAACAGCTTCTCAGGTCTGCTGCCACAGGATTTTTCTCCTTGGAAGAACCTAGCGATACTTGATTTATCGAATAATGGATTCAGTGGGAGTATCCCGTCTTCTATGTCCAATCTGACGCATCTTTCAGCTTTGAATCTAGCCAATAATTTGCTTTCAGGTGAAATTCCTGACCTCGACATTCCTAGTTTGCAAGAGCTAAATTTAGCCAACAATCATCTCACTGGAATGGTGCCTCGGTCACTTCAAAGGTTTCCAAGTGGGGCATTTGTGGGAAACAATCTTTCATCAGAAATTGCTCCTCCTTCAATTTCCCCGGTCGAGCCACCCAATCCTCAGCCAACAAAAAAATCCTCTAAACTTAGTGAGTCAGCTTTACTAGGTATTATACTCGGTGGTTGCGTGCTCGGTTTCGTAGTATCTGCTCTTTTAATCATTCTTTGCCACTCTAACCCTGAGAAAGACAAGGAGACGTCCTCCAAAAAGTCCCAGAAGAAAGAAGGATCGTTGAAAAAGAAAGGGGCTGCCTCTGAGAACCAAGAGAAGGATAACAAGATTGTGTTTTCCGAGGGTTGTAATTATGCATTTGACCTGGAAGACTTGTTAAGGGCATCTGCTGAGGTGCTCGGGAAGGGCATGTTTGGGACAACGTATAAGGCAGCTTTAGAGGATGCGACTACCGTGGTAGTCAAGAGATTGAAGGATGTTAATGTGGCTCGAAGGGAGTTCGAGCAGCAGATGGAGGCGGTCGGGCAAATGAGGCACGAGAACGTCGCTCCTCTCAGGGGTTATTACTGTTCAAAGGACGAGAAGCTGCTGATATATGATCACTACAGTCAAGGGAGCGTGTCCTCTGTATTACATGGTAATCTCATCACTACTTTTCTTGTCCTTGAATATTGCCATTTCTTGTTTACTGCTATCACTCCGTTGTAGAAATTTCTCCAATCTGTGATAGATTCCGTATAGTTTTTGCTAAAACATTGCTCGCATATCAAGTGCATGACATATATAGTAAGTGTTTGTTTTCAACGTTCTTATTTGAAGGAAAATGGGGTTGTTCTCAAGTGCAAAGATTAACTTTAACACTTGGTATTGGTGGATTATGTTGGTCATAATCTGCAATATCGTCTTTAGACCAATACAAGATGCTTACTTGTTAAATCTCAAATATCCTAAAATGAGTTCTTGTAATGGCAACTGAATCGGCAATCCTGTCTACATAATATTTTGAGGTGCTTAGAGAGGTTAGTTCTTATGTCCCATCATTTACCACTGTATCGAATCGTTATGCAGGCAGGGGAGGGGAAAAGAGAATCATTTTGGACTGGGACAGCAGAATGCAGATTGCAATCGGCACAGCCAGAGGTCTCGCGTATATCCACATGCAAAACAGCGGGAAATTTATCCATGGAAACTTGAAGGCGTCGAATGTTTTCTTCAACGAGCAAGGGTTCGGTTGTATTTCGGACATCGGTCTAGCAACAATAATAAACCCCATCCCACCTACATCCACAAGGGCTGCAGGCTACCGAGCTCCCGAAGTAATAGACACAAGGAAGGCGTTCCAAGCATCTGATGTCTATAGTTTCGGGGTCCTGTTGCTCGAGCTCCTCACGGGGAAATCACCGCTCCATTCGACCAGCGGCAATGAGTCGATCCACTTGGTTCGGTGGGTGCAATCTGTGGTTCGGGAGGAGTGGACTGCCGAAGTTTTTGACATGCAGCTTTTGAGGTATCCCAACATAGAGGAAGAGATGGTGGAGATGTTGAAGGTGGGTATGGCCTGTGTGGTCCAGAGGACCGAGCAGAGACCCAAGATGCCGGAGGTAGTAAAGCTGCTGGAGGACATACGGCGAGGAAGTTACGCAAACCGGACGTCCTCTGAGATTAGATCGGAGGGGTCTGCTTCACCTGCCGTGACGTCCGCGGCAGCTGAAATGGGACAATCTTCTATGCTGCAACAATCTCAAATTGTGGTCTCTTCGGCTGTGCAGTCCCAAGCAGATTCTTCCTCAGCTTCACAATCTCAAGCAGGAACTCCTGCTGCTGCCCCACAATGACATTTATTAGCTTTTTCCACAGGTTGTCGTCGTAGCTTTTGTTTCCGGTTTTTGTGTCATTCCATTACATGCTTCATTTGCACAGTAGTTTATTCTGTGAAATAGGATCTGATCCTCACAATTGTATTCATCTGTTTTAACATGGTTCCCGTGCAATCGGACTCGATCGCACTTGGGGTTTGTCAGGTGTACGCGGTAGTTGCTCGAATCTTCAATGAGAACATGTATGGCTACTTGGACATCCATTTGTTGAAGTTATGAGTCCACTAGGATTAAGCTAAATCACTGCCGTCTGAGAGCTGCCATATTGGCTAGAGATGGTTAACGTTTCGTTCTTTGCCGTGGATTGGGAGGCAACCTATCAAAGACTTTCTGAAACCACCATACAACAATCATTGAAGATGAGTATGCCACAAGCTCTTCAAAAACTCGAGAAACTTTTAGAGAAAAAGTCAGTTACGTTTTCCGACTTCAAGATATGCCTCCTCCCCCGAACAAAACATCGCGTGTCTATAGGATCCTGTTGGTCGGGCCAAAGGTATCGCACTTGCAGTTCAGGGCGGTTACTAAGAATTTTGTCGATTTTGGGGAGAGTTGTAAACAACCAATCCCCTCCATTTCAAATCACTCTAGTCCTAAAAACGCAATGTTGGAGAGTAGAACTAACACAAGTAGAAGATAAGAACTCAGGGCCTTAAGGACCCTAGTCGTTTCCCACTTGAGACCCACTTCCGCAAAAACCTAAGACCTCAAACATGTGTATTGTACAATGCCTCACTGTCCTTCCGACATCCTCAACTAATCGACAGAGTTACATGTATATATGGATCATTTGCTGGTTTACAATTGGAAAACAACATTGTTTATCTACCCATTTCCCGCTCTCCAGTGAAAGCACCACACGCATCAAACCAAAATCATACTCAGACAGTGTGGTGATGTACAAACTGTTGCGTAGGCCCAAAGAATTTCGATCATTTGCGAGATGCTGGTAAATGGTGCGAAGAATCAGTTGCAGTCTACTTCCTTGTGATTTTCGTCTTAACACCACCTGAAAATCACATGCCAGAACTTTTGAGTGGGCAAAAAACAGTACAGATAAAAGAAAAGCTATAGACACTGAGACCAGCAAAGTTCTGAATAACTTAACCACGGACCTTCAACTTCCTCAAATTGGACTTCTTTCACCAGTTCGGCCGCTGCATTGTACTCAAACCTGAACAAAATTAAATACCCCATGTTGAGCTCATCCCAAACTGCTATCAAAATTATCACCCACTCAGCCAGCAGTTCCTTTGCTTCCGCATACTTTACATTCAGATGCATATTAAAAGTAGAAAGACCATCCAACATTCTACCTCCACTAGAACTCTTTGTTATATCCTAACCCAATTACATCGAAACGTAAAGGACTGTTTACCCTATGAAAAATTTACAGAAACAGAAGTACATTATGAATTAATGGCTGAGGCCTAAGTAGCTGAAACAGGGGACATGAACCTTAGAACCATTCAAAATTGCAAAATGTGTTGAGCTGATTCTTTTATCTATTCAGATTGAATGGGATAAAACAGCCAGTACTTAAAAGCATAGCAAGAATACAGCTGAACCATCAGGACTTAAGGCATGCCATGTCCCAAAGGCTAAATGACTGTCCAATATAAGTCTTTGTTGGAGCGGTGCAACAAACAGCTAGTATTCAAATAAAAATTCTCCGTCCAGTATAACGAGAGAGAGAGAGAGAGACAGACAGACAGAGAGAGAGAGAGAGAGAGAGAGAGAGAGAGGGTAAAGCTGACCTATTGGAAAAATTCACTTCAAGTTCATAGTCAGATGCACTCTTCGTGGCTTCAACTAACACAGTAACAATTTCGGTTTTCCGCGTACTAGCCATGAGTAAATCATATTCTGTAGGAACTATAACCGCAAAGAAGTTATCACTTAGTTCACTCAAGCACATCTTCTCCACAGCTGCCAGGGCTATCCGCCGTTTAAGGGCATCAGTCTCAGGGTCAACTATATATAAGGCAAAGTCGGTGATCAAAAGAATACGTCGTTTCATTTTCCCCGAGCCAGTGAACTTCAAAATTTTATCAGCAAATAGCACTTGCTTATCACCTGGAAAAAGAGGAGATTAACAAAGAAATGAACTGGGAAATCTGTGAACACCATAAAATCATCTCAAAAGCAAACTGTCCATTGGCCCTCCCAGTCCCAGAGGATGAAAACATATGAAACACCATGGATCAGCTAAGCTCTACCCTAATAATGTCAAGCAAGCAGCCTAGTTTAGTATCTTCTTGGAAGTTAAATAAGAAAAGGTACTTATAAGCCTGTTTACTCAGCTTATCGTTCATCATAACAAAAAATGATGAGGCACACTAACAACAAAGGGCGAAGTAAACAGATAAATGGTACATGGTAGCATCATTATTGTGATTTTCATGTTACATTGCTAGATGTTGAAGTATGTCTTGATTTCTAGCCCAAACGAGAGAATAATAAGGAAAGAGCAAGTTTCTTAAAATATTGGGTCTATATGTAGTTAACATTCCTGTTTTGGATAGGAAAACGAAGAATGAGAAAGAGCTATTCAGGGTTGCGCAGAAAAGGCAATAATTTCATGACGTGCAGTAGATCTTTGAAATTTAACATCAAAGGAAGTTACTGAGCATTGGGAAGAACAGGGGCTCGAGTTTTTACAGACTCAAGTGATTGCTACAAGATACTTCTTGAAAGTACGTCTTCTTTTTCAGTCCAGAGAAGAACATTAAAATGATTTCTCGTCTTTGTTTTCTTTTTATGGTTCCCAACACAACGTATGCTTGCTAGAGTAGCAATTATTACGAATGCCATTACTAATCAACTAAAGGAATAGGTGATGTGCTGTGAATAATCGCATGGACCCTTTTCAGACCTTTCCATCACAAGACTTCGGTCAAGGTCGAACATATTTCAATAAGAAACCTTGCCATTTCAGACTACAGTTTTGTAAATTTGCATGAACATTGAACACAGCTATTGTTGCTCTCTCAAGCACTTGATTTCTCATTCGACATGCTCCTCCAAGAGTCACCTCTCCCTTGTTTTGCCAGAAAAATTCGATCATTGAACAACAACGATTGATGCACAGGCTCGCCTATCCAACCTTACTACCGACATCCCGAGAGCAGCACAACACGCCAGACCATATAGACAAAGGACATCAACCGTCTGACTTTCAGCAAGCCACAAGCAATTCAACAACATCGACCTCATCGATTCACCTCCAAACTCAATCACGCACCAAAACTCCTAATCCACGAATCTAAAAGCTATCCAGCAAACGGCCGATCAACACAAAATGAAGAGGACACAAACAATCAAAACAGCACCAGACATCGGGCACAATCGCGGCGGCGCGAAGCTGACCTTGTTTCTGCAAAATCTTCATCAGAAAAGGGTGCGACGGCACGCCCAGGTAGTCTCCCTTGTAGTCCCTGTGCAGCGAGGCCTTCCGCCGGACCTTGAACCCCATGAACGGCTCCTGATCCTCGGTCACGTTGTTGGCCGAGGGCTTGAACCTCATGCTGTGCTCTCCTTCGCCGTCGCCGTCGTCGCCGCCGTCGATCCCTCGCGATCCCGGAGAATCGTCCCCGGCGGCGTCGAATTTGGGAAGCAGGGGCTCGTCGATCTGGACTCGCCGCTCCGATTTGTACCGGTTAGCCATCGGAGTACGGGCGGGGGGAGCGAGTTGAAGAGCGCTCCGACTCAGTGAGTTCGGGTTCGGCGGGTGAAATGTCGGACCATCACCTGAGAAGCAAAACGATTGCCCCCGGTGGCTTCGGTTAGAGCTCTGGCGCACGTTCGCTGAGCTGGCGCTCTTTTGTCTCTCCACCAAACGCTGAGCTGGCAACAGTTTTTCGATTACAACTCACGTTTTGATTTTTCGAGAAAAGGAGTAAAATTAAAATTTCCTTTATTTACTTATTGGGTTAATATAACGAAAAGCTCCAAACTGGTACATCTGTAACAATTTTATCTCAAATCATTTTTTTGCCACAAAAAATCACAAACCGGTATATTTGCGATAAATTTACCCTCAGTTTATTTCCGTTAAATTTTACTGTCAAATTGCTTTGTTAAGTAACACGCGGCGGTTAACTAATGTACCGATTTTATGTTTTACCCTCCATTTGTCACAGGTGTACCAGTTTGTGATTTTTTGTAGTATTAATTCAATTTAACGGAAAATAACGAAGGGTAAATTTGTTACAAATATATCAGTTTAGAATTTTTAGTAGTCAAAATATTAGTTTTTGGTAAATTTGTCATAGGTGTACAAGTTTGAAGCTTTTTGTGGTAAAAAAAATTATTTTTGGTAAAATTATCACAGATGTACCAGTTTTGAATTTTTCATTGTATTAACCCTTACTTATTTGATAAGGCACGAGACCCCAATTGATATAATACGACGGGACAATTCTATTAGAAGAATTTTACTTTCGAAGCAACTTTCACAACTTATTTTTGCTTTTTGTAGAAAAAAAATATACACATTTATGCATATTTATATATGCGATGTGATTGGAATTAAAAAAATTTCACTCGTTCTATTTCTAGGATTAGAGTTAAAAATGTTGTCGAAGGGGCGAGCAGTTTGTCATAATTAAAAAGAGAAATGCTTAAGATAGCTTAAGAAGGGTGAACTTGTCGAGATGCGCAAAAGCTGCCCGACACACTCGAGTGCTAATAGACAAAGAGAGAAAGAGAGAGTGGGCACATTCCTCTCTTGGTGTATAAGACACGTGGAAAAGATTATTTTTCTCAGGGTTTCGATTATTTTCTTTTGGGAAAATTTTAAATTAGTACCTAAAGTGGGGTAATTTTCTCAAAAAAGGGTTCAAAATGGATATAATGCCAAATAAAGGCTTGAAGTGCCCAATCAATCTTAAGGGCCTGAGTTCGCCGGCCGATCAAATGCTCAACGGCCAGCAAGCATGTCATTGTTCTGGCGACCGGAATAAAGGCAAATTTGTCTTTTACTTTTTAAATTTTTTTTGTTTCTTTTTTTGTATTTTTCTTTTCCTTTTCCTTTTCTTCTTCTTCTTTTTTTCCTCTTTTCCCTCCGCCGGCCATAACCGGGGCCGGCGGAGGTTGCCGACCTCGGGCGGAGGCTGCCCTCACCGGCGTCGGGCGAGGGCTGCCTTCGCCTGGGCTGGGAGAGCGAGGGTGGTCCGCCGACCCTGACTATGGCCGGCGAAGGGAAAAGAGGAAAAAATAGAAGAAGAAGAAAAGGAAAACAAAAAAAAAAAGAAACAAAAAAAAATAAATAAGTAAAAGATGAAATTACCTTTATTTCGGTCGTCGTAACAGTGATGTGTTTGCCGGTCGGTGAGCATTGGACCGGCCGGCGAATTCAGGCCCTTACTTGAGATTAATTAGGCACTTCAGACTCCTATTTGAGACTGATTGGGCACTTCAGGCCTTTATTTGACACTGTGTCCACTTTGGGCCCCTTTTTGAGAAAATTACCCCACTTTGAGTACTGATTTGAAATTTTCCCTTTTCTTTTGAATGCATTTTTTTTTAAAGGTGGTGACATACAATTTAATATCATTTGTTTTTTGCATTCTCACATCTTTGCCCAATCAAAACAAAACACACGAACTGAAAGATCTTATACTCCCTTTGATTACAATCTTAGGATGTGCTCGTTTAAGAGAAAATTTCATCACAAGGGAAATTGTTTTCCGAGAAATCGTTTTTCAGGAAAATATTTTCCTCTTTTTATATCAGAAAATTCATTTTCCTAACTTAAAGCATGCATATTTTATTTAATCGTAAATGGTTTTCCGACAACTGATCATTTTTAGCAAACCAAATGCGTGAAATTTCCGAAAATTAATTCGCGAAAAATTCTTTCGCCTCAAATAATTATGCCCTTATCTCTCCTGCCATTATATTTTCGCGTAGGGCTGCCAAAACTACAAAATTTTGTCAAGGACATACCATGGCCCGATCGAAAATGGCCTGGTCTTTTCATGATCCGTGTTGAAGATGGGCCCAATAGAACTGGGCCCATCATCTCAACAAAGTCCATAAATTCTTCATTCGAGACTCAATTTGACACCCGAAATGGTCCCTCGATTTTTTCTTTTAATATATTTTCCTCCGTCTATCGGAATGAGCATAATATTGTTCTCCTTTATACAAGGGACAAGTACATTGAAAGTCCTAAAATTTATCGTAAAAGTACAATCAAGCCCTTAAACTTATCAAAGTGGTCCAATCAAAACCTTCCGTTTATTGCACTTTTTCAAAATTTTAGGACCTGATTATATTTTCGTGATGAGTTTTAATACTTGATTGCATTTTTTGAAAATTTTAAGACTCAATTACATTTTCGCGACAAGTTTTAGGACTTCCAGTATACTTATCCCTTTATACAAATAGCCGGGCCAAATCCTTTTAAAATTAGTGTCAAATAGAACCCTGTGGGATAACAAAAGCGAAAAAGTTAGATCGATGTCCGTTCACTTCACCGTGCTATTGCATGTAACAATCACATATTCACGTGTCTGTTACTGCTCATGTGGACCACAAAGAACAAAGTTAGGTACTTAGTCCATCAGCAATAGATAAACAAGTGGCCTCCTCCATCGACACGCGGCATACGTCTTAATTGTAGCAACGACCCTAATTCGCCGCATATTCATTATAAAAAAAAGAGAGAGAGAGAGACCGTTCACGTATCGACTTCATGCATTCCCTGGCCATGGATACAAGAAAAATTCGAATAACGATAATTGATCCACGAATTCATAAGTAGATTCTTCATACTTACTATTATACATAAATATTTGGGAAAATTTCAATTTGGTACCCAAAGTGGGGCCATTTTCTCAAAAAAGGATCCAAAGTGGACAAAGTGTCAAATAAGGATCTGAAATGCCCAATCAGTCTCAAATAGAGGCCCGAAGTGCTCAATTAGTCTTAAATAAGGGCCTGGGTTCGCCAGCCGGTCAAATGCTGATCGGCCGGCGAGCACATTACTATACGGCGATTGGAACAGGGGCATTTTTGTCTTTTACTCTTTTTTTTTTTCTCTTTTCCTTTTCCTTTTCCTCTTATTCTTTTTTTTCTAGTTTCCCTCCGCCGGCCATAGCCGGCGCCGGCAGAGGTGGCCGGCCTCAGGCGGACGCCGCCCAATGCCGGCGGCCCCTGCGAGGGCCGCCCTTCCCTGGGCTGGGTGGGCGAGGGCGACCCTCGCCAGATTCGTCGAGGGCCGGCGTCGCCCAACCCTCGCCGACATCGGGCGGGTGAGGGTCAACCTTCGCGCGCCCAGCCCAGGCGAGGGCGAACCTCATCGGCGTCGGGCGGGCGTTGCCCGATGCCAGCAAGGGTGGCCACCTTTGCTGGCGCCCACTACAAAAAAACTGGATTTTTGCCACGAAAATTTCCAACAAATTTTCCAACGAATTTCAATTTTCCGGGCAATTATTTTAGTGTGTACAATTTTCGTTGCAAAATTCGTGGGAAATTTCCCACGAATTTTGCAACGAAAACCCTACTTGTTCCTTATTTTCGCGCTCGTTATTCCCACAACTTTCAATTTCCACATTCACTCTCTCTCTCTCTCTCTCTCTCCTTCGCCTTCACCTTCTCCCTCCGTCTCCCCCTCCGCCTCCCCCGCCGCCCCCCCTCCTCCTCCGGCTCCGGCGCCATGGACACCAAGCCTCCGACGCCCCCGACGGCCCCGACGCCCCTGACGCCACCAAGCCTCGTCGCCCGTGAGGGCCGAGCTCGGCCCTCACCATGGCCGGCGAGGCTAGGAGACGACGACGGACTTGACGGGCGGCGGCCCCGAAGCCTGCTCCCGCCCCTGCTGCTGCTGCTGCTTCTTCTTCATCTTCGGCCATGGCGAGGGCCGAGCTCGCCATGGCCGGCGAGCTCGAGCTCGCCCAGATCTGGGCGAGCTCGGCCCTCGCCGACGATGAGGCTTGCCCTCGCCGACGACAAGGCTAGCCCTCGCCGGCCATGGCGAGGGCCTAGCTCGCCATGGCCGGCGAGCTCAGGCTCGCCCAGATCTGGGCGAGCTCGGCCCTCGCCGGCGACGAGGCGGGCCCTCGCCGGCGACGAGGCTGGCCCTCGCCGGTGGCGAAGGCTATTTTTCGATCAAAAAAAAAAATTTTGACCAAAAAAAAATTCTTTTTCGATGGAAAAAAAATTTCCACGATTTTTAACTCGACCAAAAAAAAATTTGTAATTTCCAACGAAAAAAATTCGTCGGAAAAAAAAATTCGTTTCCAACGAATTTAGCCACGAGTTTTCCAACGAATTTTCCAACGAAAAAAAATTTATCGCAAATTTCCAACGAAAATTGAAATTTTTCGTTGGAAAAATTTCCGACGACTTATTACCAACGAATTTTTTTTCGTTGGAAAATTCGTTGGAAATTCGTTTTCCAACGAATTTTTCCAAATTTTTCGTTGGAAATTTCGTCGGAAAAAACATGTTTTTTTGTAGTGGCCGGCTATAGCCGGCGGAGGGAAACCAGAAAAAAAAAAAAAAGAAGAAGAGGAAAAGGAAAAGGAAAAGAGAGAAAAAAAAAAGTAAAAGACGAAAATGCCCTGTTTCGATCGCCGGAATAGTAACGTGCTCACCGGCCGGTGAGCATTTGACCGGCCGGCGAACCCAGGCCCTTATTTGAGACTAATTGAGCACTTTAGGCCCCTATTTGAGACTGATTAGGTACTTTAGGCTCTTATTTGACACTTTGGACTTTTTTTGAGAAAATGGCCCCACTTTGGATATCAAATTGAAATTTTCCCTAAATATTTTCTCGTTCATTATGTTTATTACTGGATTGATTCACCAACTTAA